CTTTGGTTTATTATATTAGCACTGAGTTCTTAATCGACGACAATTCATAATTACGAACTACATATATAAACGTGACAAGACACAGCTGCCACATCAGCAGCTGCAGCCACTTGACAGTGTCATCCACACACATTTATTTTTCTATTCCTTTGGTAGACAAGCGCTAAAGTAACGTTTGGCTAAAGGCACGAATAGTGCTATACAGCGTGTATAGTTTACGACTGTACACACATAATGCTTAATTGTCAAGAATACCCACGCTAACGCACTATCGTACAACATAATGCGTACGTAAGTAAATAAATATAATAATAAGCTACAAACAACTAGTCTCAGTACGAGGAAATAAGAAAAAATGTGGTTTGTTGTCTTCCTTTGTTTATGAGACCAGTTTCAGCTAATCGTACTCCATTTGTTAAGTCAACTCGTCACAAATTGCATAGTCGGTACACGTAGTGGGCTGTGAAACCAGTTTACTAGTAAGTACTAGATACAGTCATGAACAGTAATATATAAGTATAATATATGCTGAACATAGGTCTACACAAAGGAGATCGGCAAAACTTTACCTCGATGAACTCATTTGTCAAAAAAACGTCGGATGACATAACAATCCATAAAAGCGGAAACTTTATTCATTATTAACTGAAATAAGTGGCATTAGTGCCACAATGTGCACCTCTGCCAACTCCTTCAGGGATAAAAGGCGTGATGTTATGAGGAATAATTAGCATATACCGAGTTACATATATTACTAAACTAATTATGTACACAGGGCTGAATACTAAATAGTACCTTATATTTTATTTGTGTCGACAACTATGAAAGTTTTACCGATCTCCTTTTTTTATTTATATTCTGTATAGTATTATTCTGTATTTATTGCAAATCTTCAGGTCTCCATCCCACAAAATTACAAAAAGTGTTCAATAAATACAAAGAAGTGTACGATAGTGACCGAGGACGCTTGATCATTTTCGAGGACGCTCACATAAGAAAGTGATTAAAGTTCTTTTCATCGTCCATCACACAATTTTGTTCAGTCCTTTCCTATGTAAGTGCAACAAAGTTGCAATTATATTTCGAAACCTTTACCCTACTTCTGGTCTTCTTATGTACGTAATTTTATCAATTATGGTCATAATAAGCAACAATAATCATATAAATTATTGAGAGCAAACATCGAACCTATTACTTGTCAGTGTCACAGGTCATGCTCCTGAGTTAACCTCTAATTCATTTTATTTTATTCATATTTGTTGACCCCTATCTTGCCTGGTGGTAACCGATGATGCGGTCAAATAAAATTGGTTTCTACATTATTGTCGAGCAAGGTTTCGAGTTTGATTCCCGGGTCAGACTCAGCATTGTTGATTGGGGTATTTTCGGTCAATCGAAAAATTTCTCATTAATAACACGGAGCTTGTAATTGTACCCGGTATATTGTGAAAGGCTCATTTCTATTGCATGAGACTTATAAGTTAAGTCTGACTGATGAATCATGAGTACTATATTGTTTATATTCATTTGTGCCTTCGGGATATTAAATCCTCTGGTGTTGCGGGTGTCCATGGGCGGCGCTGGTCGCTTACCATCGCCTCGTATTCCATAAAAAAAAATCCGTTATGATATGTCATTGTCTGTGTCAATAATGATTATGTACGACATTCTCTATCGATGTTTGCTTAACTCGTCGAGTACCGGTTTTGTAGACACAATTATAGAACAATAGGTTGCGGTCACCGGTGCCGCTTGGTGTTTGACAGTTTAAGTAAAAGCAATGTAGATTATTAATTGATTTTTTTTAATGACATCATAGTTTTCACACATAGACTTTCATCTATGTCATGAATCCGTTTGATTACTATGACAAACAATTGATAATTAATTTGCCCACATATAAGGTATGGATCAGAGTAATGATATCATTTCTAGGCGGGATTGTAGCTTACTACTCCTTAGGTAGGTGTTGTTCAGGTAGTCATGTTAATTTTAATTGACGTTTTTATTACCGTTCCACTTAAACAAAATTTGTTGGTCATCTTGCCTTTAAGTTACAGAGCCTAGTCACTTATTTAGCTTAAACCAAAGAAAAGTTACAACTTAACTGAATTTATTTAAAACTTGGACTTCACAATAATCACAGCATGTTAACATTTTACACATTGCTATTAGTTTATGGTAAGTGAATTACGAACGTTATAAAACTATTTAGCTAACTGTTACACGTTGCTTCGCCTGCGTGATAAAAGGAAAAAATCGCCTAGTCTATATTAGTTA